TCTTGTAGCCCAGCCTGGCCTCAAACTCACAGAGATCTGCCTGCCTCTGCCTCCCGAGTGCTGGGATTAAAGGCGTGTGCCACCCATGCCCGGCGACCTTGTCTTCTTATGTTATCTTATGTCTATGGATGTTTTTGCTTGCATTTATGTGTGGGTACCCAGTGCCCACAGTAGTTAGAACAGGGCTTCCCCAGACCTCTGGAAGTGGAGCCACTACATGGGTGCTGGGAATCAAACCTGGGTCCTTGGCAAGAGCAACAAGGGATTTTAACCTCTGGAACACCTGCCCTGTCCAGCCTGGAGAGACCTTGTCTTGGGGCTAGGGGACTGGAGCAATGGCTCGGTAATTAAGAGCGCACACTGCTGTTACAGAGGAGTGGATTCAGTAGACACCCATATAATTAAACATTAGCAAAAGAGCCAGTGGCCCTTGCTCTTTCCCTGGCAGGTCTCGGCTCCACCTCAGTTTGCAGTCCCTGGGCCTGGGCGCCTATCCACACCGCAGTGGGCAGCAGAGCCCAGGCTCAAGTCCATGTGCAGTCACGGATACCACAAATACAACCAGGAGGAGGCAGCAGGGTGGCCCAAGAGTTGTTGGCTGGCAGAGCCTGTGAGCTGAGCCATGACAGCCACTGCACACATCGCTTTCCACATAAAGAACCTTTATTGAGCATTTGTTATCTGGGTGATGCCCCCCAATGTCCCTCCATGCCCATTCTGAAGTCATGGGCCTGTCCTGCTGCCCGGGACCCTCTGGTTCCTGCTTCAAGGCCCCCCGCAGAGGTGACCACTCAGGCAGGGCCAAGGTGCCAGTCTCCTGGGGCTGAGGTGGGGCAGGGCAAGCCTGGGATCCTCAGGACTTCTGGATCACCACCTGGAACTTACCTGGAAGGGAAGGAACCCTGTCACGCAGGCTGGTTGTCCACCTGCACCAATAGCCTGGGGTGCCTGGAGTGAGTGGGTCACAGGGGGATCGCCCCCACCCAACTGTCCCGCATCCCAGACCCTGAGGGAGCCCAGGGCCAGGTGGCTGAACATGTAGGAGGTAGGAGGGCTAGCCCGAGCTCCTGATGTGCCCTGCTCATTTATCCCAGGTCCCCAGTGGCAAGGCGGGGGTGGCAGCTGCCCCCCCCCCCCGGGGGGGGGGTGTGCTCAGGCCCATCCACACCTTATGGGGTGAAGATAACAACAGATGGGTGGTGAGATTCTACTCTTCAAAGTCAACAGGGAACCTGGCCAGGGTGTCTAAGATGTCCTGCTGGGTCCTGTGCTACCCTCTTCTCTTAGGGGGACCCCAGGGATGCAGGCTGGGTACACGGATGCGCTCACGGTAGCTGTCCGTGTCAGCTATGTCTCCGCACTGATGAGGGACCAGGGATGCAAAGCACCCCTCCCCCATGACTTACAGGCAGGCAGGGAAGTCACAGAGGCGGTGACCAGGCTCTGGAAGCCCAGCGTGTGGAGGGCGCCGCACAGAAGGCCGCAGGTGAAGGCCAGGAACTAGGATGGGGGACACAGACCACTGTGGGAAGAGGGGAGGCCAGGCCCCAGCCCCAGGAGAGGCCTAGCAGGGGGATGGGCAGACAGGCATGTCCTGTGCTACCCCCAATACCTTGGGAGCTTCCTCTAGATACTGAGACCCCGAGCCCATGGTGATGAGGAGTGGAAAATTGTTGTCCTGCAGCACATAGGTCCCCTGGTGACAGAAAAGAGACCGATGGGGCTGGGCACTGACAGAGGACCCTGGAACCCAATCCTTTAGCGCTGGGAGTGGGGGGAGCTAGGTACCAAGGAGCACCTGGGCCACCCTGCTGGCCACGTGGCTTCTTAGGAAGCAGTCCCTATCTGGCAGGAGAGAGCAAAGAAGCTGAAACCCTGGCCTATGAAGTGGTGGCGGGGAACGGGCCAGTGTGGGTGTTCAATGGGGACTACAAGCCTGGGACAAGAATCGTCACATCAAGGCCAATAGCTGCCTGTGTGGGGCTCTCTCCTGACAGGCAGGTTAAAGTTGCAGAAATAGCCCTGCCACCCACCCCACTGCAGCCCTGGCTTCCCTTAGGGGCTCCAAGGAGGCTCTTGCCTCCCCAGTCCCCAGTGTGCCGGCTGTGATGTTCCCTTGCAGGGCTTCCACTGCCTCCAACCTGGAGGCCAGGCGCTGGGGCTGGGCCGGGCCGGCTCGCACACCCACCTGGTGGTTGGTGCTGTGTGCATCCATGTGCTTTTGGAAGGTGGCTGCCCACAGGTCTTTGCACAGGAACTTGAGGGCATCCAGCTCCTCTCTGACAGCCAGCGTCTCCCGGGGCAGCCTGGATAAGAGTGTGGGATGAAGCCAGGC